TTGTTTTAACTTGGCTTTTTATAGTTAATTATCATTATTGTACAGTTAAGTTAATTTACAAGTAAATCATGTGATTTGGGTAGTTAAAGATAACACCAGTGTGTAGCACTGTAGCTGAATTAACTTTATAGTTCAACCTAAATTAGTAATATTTAAAATARCTATAATGTCATTGTATTAAATATTGATTTTATAATTGTAATAATTGTATTAATAAATGAGTTAAATTAATTCAAGTAAATGATTATTAATTAACCCTTAATAAGTGTTTTGTTGTTAATTCAACACTAGATTTGTACGTGTGATAGTTAACAATACAACCTATATTATTATGTTACCACAAGTCCAGAAACGTGAATATTTTGTATTTTTAATATTTTGTTCTTAYGTTYTGTTAAAAATGTATTATTCTATCACAGAAATAAAAATATTATATGATTGTAAATCCATTGTATAGTCAACAATCAACCACGTTTTATAAAATATTACAATTTACAATGATTGCACTTTTATTTTCTTAAGCTTTTTTTTCCGGGGTGTATTTTTCAGTTTGGGTTTTATTTCCGTGGCCATTTTTTCCGCTTCCCACTCTATACAGATCATGCAATAATATAAGTCGATGATTCATTCACTGGTACTGCTTAATGTTAAAAATAACGATATTTTCGTCTTTTTTATAATTCGAAAAGTCATATAATTTAACAATACTTTCATGCCGATGCTCACTCGACAACGTACGTTAAATATTTGTGTTAAAATTTAAATGTTGTAAATATTAGCGGTTCAGAGCCAGCAGTGATCTGCATATTATAAAATTCACAGATGATACAAATTTAGTATTGAAAATATAAACAGGGGTTAAAGGGGGGGGGCAGTCCCTAAAATATCCAAATTTTCGTACTACACACATAGACACATAGTCCCAAATCAGTCAAATCTAAATTATACATTATACCTATCAATTAATGATAATATGTATTTACAATAAATAATTTTATTTAAATAAAGTAGTACTTCAAAATTCAAATAAACAAATTTAAAGGTTCTTTAAAAAAAATATTTGTGAAATAGAATTTTTGTTGAAAAAAAATTTTTTTTGTATATACCTAAACCATTTTAAGTGTACAAAATGCATGAAAATAATAATACATAATATCAGTAAATAAATAAAAATAAATTTAAATTACCTATATTAAGTATATAAATTATAGTTTTTTTTTTTTTATTCTTTGTGGCCGAAGAACTTTTTGATATCCTGAATTAATAGGTATTGTTGTATCAAAATTTTATAGAACATTATTATAAAGGTTATTATTATAACACACTTTTAAATTTTGTACTACACACTGCATTTTTTGTACTACACAAAGTGTGTCGTACTACACACAATTTTAGGGACTGGGGGGGGGGCGCAGGAGGACTCAGTTCCCTTACTTCTGACGATGCTTAAAAAACGTCCCCTTAACAAATTAGGATTTTATACATTAGACATTATACATAAAATTATATATGGAACGCTTAAAACTTTATGGAGACATTAGTCCCCTCTGGAAATTTTTCCCTCTTTAACCTCTGAATATAAATATAGATTGATAATTAAAGGTTGCGTATGTGAGTAACTTGTGTGCCATTCGTTGGTAGAGTGGTGCAGAGGAAATTACCGATACCTAATTAATACATTTTATTCAAAGGCGGAGACAACGCATTTATTTGAACTTTGAAGTAAATTGATTTCCCCAATGAGGATATATTTGCTGTGATTTTATTTTTAGTGACAACAATAAAAATTATTAATTTAAGCCATAATTCTTTAATTTCTATTTCAAATATTTAGTTTGTGACAATTATTTGGCTATTAATATAATATTAAGTAATTTTAAACCCCATCAATTATAATTGATTGGACTGATCATACATTTTAGTAGGTACTTGTCCGAATTGCAATAATATTGATAATAATAATTGCTTGATTTTTATTATTTATTTTTTTAAATCTATATAGTATATAGTGATATTATAGAGTTTTAATTAGCATTGAACTGTAAAATTAATAATACCAAGCACGGACGCAGGATAAAATCCCACCCGGAGCAAGATCAAAATTCTAAAACCAAATCAAAAAGATTATTTTAAATTTTAATATATTTTTAGTGTCTTCATTCTAAAATAGCATAAYCTAAATAGAAAAAAAATCAACATTATATGTCATCACATAAGTCCCTTATATGTGTTAGGTTTACAATACATTATTAATATTTTTTAAATATAATTATAATAATTAAAATATTATTACCATGAAGGGTTAATATATTTTATATAATATAAATGTTCTATATTATCTGAAGAGAACGTTACCTATACCCGCATATGTTGACCTCTTATAAAAATTAAATGTAACATTTTTATCGAGGACGTCTCATTTCGATGCTTTTTTTATATTTTAATTTTAAACCGAGTTGTGAGTATACCAACAATAAACAATTTTAAAATACTCATAACTCGCTTTAAAAATAAAATATATTAAAAAGCCTATGAGACGCCCTCGATAATAATGTTATATCTTTAATGTTAATAAGAGGTCAATTCACTCTACATTTTAAACTCACTGAGGTAAACGTGATCTGCTGAGCGTAAAATTTGTTATGTCACGCACTTGTAAGTAGGGATGGCAACGATACATCGATTAATCGAAAACATCGATTGTTATATTCGATGTATCGATGTTTTTTACATCGACAGTGTCTTTCGATTTTTATTGGTCCATCGAAAATTACCTTCGATGTTATTTCGATGTGTCAATGTATCGAAGTAGCTACGTAACTAAGTTAAACAGTTACCTAACAAATTAATATTTTTCAACTTAACCAGTTAGTTWTTTTTTTAATTAACTGAGTAAGTAAACATAATATTATTATGTTATAGCTTATAAATTATTTTTATTTTTGTTAACCATGATGTACACAATGATATTAAATAAAAATAAACAAATAAATATTTTTTGATTTAATCACAAATGTGTAATTGTTAATGGGAAATAAAAATTAAGCTATTGTAGATTTCAATATCTACTAAATGCTTAATAAATATTAAAGTTGCTCAATACCCTGCAAGTGTGAATGTGTAATCCATGATTACTACCTTATAAAATGTGAAGTGTACGGTGTGGTGTATGGTATAACCGTATCCTTCATTTTAGAGTGCAAAATTTGCCTTTTTTTTTTTCGATAC